TATATATATACTAAAATGGACGAGATCACCACCTGTGACCATCTTTCCTCATCGCCGGCCAGAACATGTTTCCTCTCAAGTGCGACACTTTACACCGAGGTCTCCTTCTCCGCCTATTTCCGGCCACTGGCCGCTGCTGCTTCTTATTCTCTGCTCATATCCAACCACCGACCATCATCTTCTTGTTGAACAATCCAGATTAGTTTCGGTTTTTCATATCCCTAGAGATCTAGTTTCTTCACACCCAGATCAGTTCGATTTCTGGTTTTTGTTTAGATCTCGTTTCAGATCTAAGACGTAACACAAATCTTGTCGGAGATGTAACCCAGATATCGTCGGAGATGTAACGCAGAAGATATAAGGTTTTTGGATGTAACCAATATTTCTTCAGATATTTAACGTCGGAAGTAATACAGTGGTAACATAGTGTTATTCACAGTTGTATTCATCAACCAAATCTGGTATCATAGTGTGTATCACAGTGTGTTTTTGTCGTTATATGAAGTGTATCACAATGTATTTTTGTTGTTTTACGAAATATAACACAATATATCATGTAATATTGTTTTACTAAGTGTATCACACTGTGTTTTTTGTAATTTTATGAAACATATCACAGTGTGCGTCATCTGTTTGCCGGAATAAGGTTCACCGGAATAAAGTTCGGAAGAGAGATGAGAGATGACAGAAGATAACTTTTTCAAATACGTAAAATGCCCTTTAATTAAAACTTTATGTCAAATTACCAAAACTATTAGTTTTCTAATTATTATTGATTTGTGGTTGAAATTGGATCTCACAATTATCACAAACTAACTAGTTCCTAATTAAGAAGCTTTCAAAATGTGCAAGGACGAATATATATATATATAGAGAGAGATTGTCAGGTTTAGGGAAAAATAATAAAAAAAAAACTAAGAAACATCTAGTAACTCTTCGTCTAAACAAAATATACATATCCATACAAGTAATTTGAAATTTGTTTCAATCCAATAGTACTTTCTAGAACTTGTACACATGATTGGGAGGTTTAGGTGCAACCATCATTAACCGCTGTGGTATTTCTCTAGGGCATCCCCCATTAACCACAATTTCAAACTCCAACGAACTGGAACCCCGTCTCTCTCTCTCTCTCTCACATACACACACACTCTCGCACAATGTGTTCATCAATGGCAACGAGTCTATGCATCACCTTCCTCTGTACTCTCTTCATCTGTTCATCTGCTGCTCATGATGAAAGTAAGTTCACCTTCTCTGTTATCTCCCATTGCATTTCTATAGAGAATACCTGAATTTGCTCTAGTAGAACAGTTGATTTTGATTTTGATCTTTTGCTTGCGTGTTTGGTTGCTTCGTGGCCGTGATCTGATTTAGCATCTCCAGTTGTGGAGAGTTCTCTTATCATGTACCTGGATTGCGTCTGTGCTATTGCTATTTGTTTTAGTTGATTACGAAAATAAATCGCAATGTAGGTAGTTAGCGGTTGCACCTAATTTTGTTTTGGATCTGATTTCTAAGTGCCTGCTTAGTTTCATAAGTTACTTTCCTTTCTTCGTTTTTCCTTTCCCCGATTTGTACGTGTCCGTACGGAAGAGGCTGATTTGTGGCGGATAAATCGTGGAAATGTCCTTGTCGATCATGATACCTTGTTTTGAGTGACACCTTCAAGGTTTATGGAAGTAATATCTAAATCTGGATGTGAAAAGGATAGTACACAGAATCGCAATAAAAATTGGTAAGTAGAGGATCATTGTTTTAATGTAGTAGGATTAGGATCATTGTTTTAATGTAGTAGGATTAGTTAAGTATGGTATTGAATCAGAAGATCAGGCTTGTCGTTCCAACAAGGACTTCCACATTTTCTAAGATTTCATGTAGTCAATTGTGATATATGTTGAAGTTTTTTATTTAGACATGCTTCGTATCCATTAATATCTAGTGTGATCTATTTGTGAGTGGTCTTTTTGTTCTGCGAGAAAAACTCCGAGGAAACACCCTACTGATACTCTCATGAGAAAACATATTCTCCCTTCTGCTGATTTAGGATTTCATCCTAATGTAGAATTCATTGCTGCAAGTTGTATTGTGTGCTTTAATCATGTTATTGTATCATGGATGATGGAACAGAACATTTAAGATCTGAAGTTGTATCCAAGTGAATATACCACTAGATGATATTTGTCGCCCAACTTTATAGTCTTTCATATCCGTCTAGAGTAGTCCATTTTAATCTGCTCTTGCTCTCCACTAATTGGGCATTTTTCCACATCTATTTAAGTTTAAACTCGGTGTTCATCAAGCATTGGTGCCCAGCCGTCAATTTCGCATGATTTGAGGTTTGAAGCCTATGATTTGCCATTTTAGTTGTAGGATCAGGTTCAATTTATGAAACCAAATTACGCAATCCCATTAGCAAGTCAGAACTGCTTCTGAATTGTCATCTCATTGGTGAATTGTCCTTGTATCATTGAACTGAACTTATAATACAGTTCTGTAAATTACCTTATTGGTTTATGTTGATTTGGGTGTAGGTTTATTGATCCAAAAGTAATTAGTAGCCACATGAGTAGAAATGTTCTTGTAATAGCATATGGTAGTGTTTTACAGAAATGAGACCAGACTACATTCTCATGATTAATGGATGTATATTTTGGTCCTTACATTACTAAAACGCTTACCTTCTTGTCTTCTCTATCTTTTGAAAGTACACAAAATAACTTAAACAAATTCAAACAAATCTACAATTCTATTTCACTTGTGATTCTAAATGAGTATAAAGATACTCTGATTCAATTAACAAGTTGACAACTATGCTAAAGAGTAATAGGAAATCTTGTTGAATGGAAACAGTCCTGTAAGTGGCAATGGGAAAAGGATAGATGAGAGGAGCTCACTTATTACAGAGAATACATGTGCGAGGCATTTATCTGAGTAGATAAGGGTATCATGTTGGGCTATGGACTCTTCTTCTTACTCCTCTGATGGAGGATGAAATTTGTTATAGCTTTAGCAAGTTCTATGAATTTCTTAAAATAGTTATGCACTCTTATCAAATTTTATCTTTGAAAAAGAACCATAAAAACAAGACAGCTATCCTTTGGCCATTCACAAATCGAACTCGAATCAGTTATAGCTGAACGAGTTGGCTTTCTCTTTAGGTTAAATCATGAAAACACAAAAGTCAGCATTTTGCATTGGCAAAACAAAGATTGCAACACAGGTAGAACTGAAACTAAAAACTGATAATGCAATTGATCTAATAAAGGAGATAATTGTGCTTAACAAGTAGGGATATCACATGAAATCCTTTTATGCTTATTTATGAGTTTATCTGTATGGTTAGCTGGATTTTCATCCCAGAGAACTTCTTGGCTAGCTGAATGTCTGATTTGAGCACCTTCATGTTTATACATTCTAGATGATTTCACATTATTTTTCTTTTTGCTTCAGTACAAAGAAATATCTGGCCATGATTTGCACCATCTATGAAATTCATTCATTTTCTTTCAAGCTCTACATAGCCATGGTTTATGACTGTCATGTATCATGAAGAAATTCTGACCTTCTAACTAGTCTACTTTTTTCCTAAAATAACAGAAAAGGTTACAAACAACCCAGCCGATGAGCTTGTAGCCATTGTAAATAGCAACAGAACAGCACACAAAGCAGCTTCCCTCGATAACAATCCTGGCTTAGGCTGCTTAGCCCTGCAATACATCAAAGCCTACCAAGGCAAATGTGATGATGTTGGTGGGTCCAACGCCAAAAAACCTGCAGACTCTGAATTCGCTGAAACCTTCGCACCTAACTGTGGGGTCGAAGCGACCACACTCTCCCCAATCACAGGCCGTGTACTTGGGTGCCAGTCCAAATACGTTACTCCTGATAAAGCATTCACAGAAATACTAACCATGAAGAACCGAAGCTTGAATATAATCTACAATACAACCCACACTGAGGTGGGAGCAGCTGTGAGCGGTTCAGATGGCGGAGGCCCGTATTTCTGGTGTGTTCTTTTTAGTAACGGGAAATCGAATAGTAGCTTTCAGTTGGAAGGAGGAGTGGCTAAGATAACCAGACCAGGATGCTTTAGTGGTGCCAATGATGAATGCAGTGGTGCTGATGGTTGGTCACAAAATCTCAATATTTTGACTGTCTTTGTTGGAGTTTTTGCTGCAATTGCTTATACAATTGGGGTATGAGTATGAGTATGAGTATGATCACACTTTATGTGCAAAATGGGTTGTTTTCTTTTGACTTCTGATATTAGTTGTTTGCGATTTCGTCCATTCGTTTACGAGCTTAAAAGGTGAAATATTCTTTCCACATGTTACTCGAAATTTCGTGATCTTTGTTTCCTATGATTATACACAGTTTTATATCTTGTCGTATAATCTTGTATCTGTTGGATATTAGTCCACACTTGTCCCACATAGGAAATAGAAGGAAAGTTTTATGTGTTTATATGGCCTTACACAAGAATTATCAAGTTAGAGAGAGGCCCAAAAAAAGGATTGGGCTTTGGTGTGGCATTACCCAATATTAATGGTCAAAAGATGGGCCTTAGGCCTTATGACCCGACTACGTTTTTTGCCCGATTCGAGACCAGTGTTGGTAACTGCATTTTTGCAGTTAATTTTCGTTTTTGCGTTTCGTTTCCCAGAAATCAGATACGATTTTTTCACACACATAATTCTCAATAACTTTTTGCTCCTTGTATCGTTGCTTCATGGAACGTATTATTCGATGGAATCGGATTGACGTGCATCAATCCGATTAGATAGTTGTACCCTCAAGACGACGTTCGTTTACCAACGCACGATTGGGGGCGAAATTTCGTCTTAGGACACTGCTGTGGCAGGCCTCTATCTCTCGATCTTGGCATATAGTGATATCATCATAAAGGTTAGATTTTTACTAAATTTCTTGGCTGTTTATTTATGTTTTAATTTCAAACTTGGAAGTGTAATTCTATACTTCGTTGGATTGGTTCTAACAGTATCCACTTGTGTTCTTCTCCCTGAAATGTTCTTTGTTTGATCCTAATTGTTGTCTTAACCCGTACCGTAGTATGAAGGTTAATGTTTCAAAAGTCTATCTACAGAAAGATAACAAATTCAACTTTATTTCTAAAAAAATACAAACAAACTATATTTAATTAATTACATTTTACTCATTTTAATAATATTATTATTATTCACATTGTTTTTTCGTATACATATATTATTATTTTTCTGTAATTAATAGAAGTCATTATTTACATAAACAAACGCACAAACTAAAACACAATAATATATGTATACGAAAAAACAAATTTTAGAAACAACTCAAGATATAATAAAAGAAAAACTCTTTTTAACATTTTAAGAACTGAAAAATCATAAGCATTGTCATTAATTCAGTGACCATCATTTTGTAATCTCTTACATATCATTTATTTAGACTAATGATCACTTTCTTACATGTATAAAACTGGGTACAGGTAAGGAGCCGTTTGTCAAAAGCTTATTGGATTAGCGCTTACTGGAAAGAATTATCATCCCCACTTACCTTAGCGGGTAACATTTCGGCCATCAAAATGAATTGTTGGTAAACATCTTTTATCTAGTAACTTCTTCTTATCGGGAAATAGTCTTCTTCCATACTTATCGGGTAAGATTCTTTGTCTTTGTTATGCCTCTTACCGAATAAGATTTTCTGTCCATGTCATGCTCACCTGATAAAATAAAGGATTATCCAATAAACATTTAATAACCTCTAAGTCTTCATAGATCAACATAATATGTTGTTGTACAACATCATAGAAAGAGGGAAGCACCACTAGTTGCAGAAAGAAAGAGGGAAGCACCAATAGCCACCCTGTATATGTATTTCTTTTTCCATTATCATTGCAATTTGCACTACAAATTAGATTTTAAAGTTTATAGACAAATATGTGTTCTCTGTGAAAATTTAGATGTCAAGGTCTCCATTTCCAAAGGGAATAAAAAAGAAGAAATCTTTGGTTTTGGAAAAAAAAATTAGGGTTTGATATTTTTGGGAATAAAATGGTTTAGATTTGGATTTCATATATTTGGATACCGTAATGGTTTGGAATTGAGTTTAATAAACTTTTAAATTGATGTTTTTATCATTCAAAGTCATTCATTCAGTATTTTTATTAAACAATGATAATATAGACAACAGGTAAAATGATTAATTCTAACATTCAAACTGTTTATTCACCACAATAACCAAACACCAACTTATCTATTATCATAAGGAACTTTATCCATACAAGCCTTAAAAGGAAAATGAACCAAACTAACTCTTAAAGTTTAATATAAATACTTAGCATGACATGCACTGAACCACTTTGATGAGATGGATCATGTATATAATTTGATTTAATTTTCAATTATTAAATATATTTAATGTTGGTATAATAGTAATTATTCTTTTTTCAAAATGAGAAAAAGATAAGATGCTTTATAGAACAAGCTTAGAAACACAACAAGAAGGTCGTCCTCCTTGTCTTCATTAAACGAGACACAAATTGTCTCCAAGGTATTGGGTGAACATCCCAGTCACAATCAAGGACGAGGGCATAAGTTGTAGGATGCTGCAATCTCTTCCATCTCGGATTTATACACATCTCAGTCTATCACGACACCACTGAAAATGCGTTGACAAGGTGATGCATTGTGAATGTGCCAACAATTTGTGAGCTAAAACTCAACAAGCCACCAACACAACAACCATTGCATCAGACTAACGACAACTATGATGGCATGCCATACTTAGAAGAGAATTATATATATATATATATATATATATATATATATATATATATATATATGCATAGGAAGAGGTTCATTTAAGAATCACCAAATATATGAAAAAGGGTGAAGCAATCTAGCCCTTGTAATAAAAAAATTAATGGTCAAGATTAGAAGGGATGATTGTGTAATAGCAGATAATTAGGGTGCATGGTAAAAACTATACGAAAATTAAAGGGGTATATTTGTAATACTCACACCTAAATCAAAATAGGCCCAAAAAAATCATAATCACTCCAGGTTCATCATTACGCTAATTTCTTCAAAAACACTCTCATATTATTCCGATTACATCCTCAACACTCTTTCTTATACAAATTCAGTACCAAAAATACTCTTAAATTGGAAGTTACTCGATCGTAATCTCAAAAAATGGCAGAAAAGCAGAACAATTCAGTGATTGTGCAAGAAGAAGGTTCGAAAACATCAGAAAAGAAAATAACTGAAATGAACGAAGATGAAACATTGGATACAATCAAGAAAAAAGGTATCGATTTCATGTATTTCTTGTAACATCATTGAATGGTTTCCTTTACACTCTGTTATATTGAATGAATCTAGATTTACAAAAAACTTGAATGCATTTAACAGACTTTCAGGGCTTAAATAAACATGCAGAATATATTTGAAGTTCATTTATGTTGTTCGTGTTTTTTTATGGTGAGGAGTATGCTTAATGAAACATGTGACAAAGGAGTACAAAATACAAAAAGGATTGAGAAGCTGAAAGTAACAAAAAAGGCCATACAGAAGTCAAAAAAGGCAAATTAGTTCATGTCTGAATGTTGTTTTACTATAAACATTGTGCATTCATATATGAATCTGTGACATATTTTGTTGTTCTTGTGTGATTTATCACATACTGAGTCTTCAAATGTGAAAGTTTCATGTTAGACATATTGAGCCTTCATATGTGAACCTGTTAGACATTAAACATTTTGAAGTTCATGTGTGAATGTTAATATATTGAGTGTTCATATGTGAATCTTTGACATATTTTGTTGTTCATGTGTGATTTATCACATGTTGAGGCTTCAAATGTGAAACTTTTATGTTAGACATATTGAGCCTTCATATGTGAACCTGTTAAATATTTTGAAGTTCATGTGTGAATGCTAATATATTGAGCGTTCATATGTGAATCTGCGACATATTTTGTTGTTCATGTTTGATTTATCACATGTTGAGGCTTCAAATGTGAAACTTTCATGTTAGACATATTGAGCTTTCGTATGTGAACCTGTTCAACATTTTGAAGTTCATGTGTGAAGGTTAACATGTTGAGCGTTCATATGTGAATCTTTGACATATTTTGTTTTTCATTTGTGATTTATCACATATTGAAGCTTCATATGTGAAAATTTCATGCTATACATATTGAGCCTTCATATGTGAACCTGTCAGATATTTAACAGTTAGCCTCTAAATCTATCACACTTGTCTTATTAGACATATTTGCTTCATATATGAACTTATGAGACATTTTATAGTTTGGTTCTGAATTTCCATGTCATACAATTATGAGTTCATATATGAATGTTCTTATGTTAGACAAGTTGTCGTGTTAGACACTTTCAGCATTCATATGTAAATGATAAAACTTCATTTCTGAATGCTATATGATATTTGATATGAAATTTCAACAGGTGAAGCCACAACAAAACATACCCTACAAGAACAAAAGCTAAACTAGTTGAAGGAAGTAAGGAGCCTAAAGGAGGTAAAATATCAACATATGATATACAAATTTGTACCAACTACTTTGATTTATATCATATGCCAATTTGTTATACAAAAAAGAAACCATCATTACCAAACATCAAGCTTGTTGTCACAAGCAACAGAAGCCTGGACATCTTGCAAAAGAAATTGTGCACAATATGTGAACTATAAACAATCATATTACATATGAACTAATGTTACTTTTCAATTATATTGACAAATGTTTATAAATAGGTAAAAGACCAGAAACAAACACCGGCAGAAAAGGTGTCCAAAAAGTAACAAAAGAACTGTGAAGAAAGCCAAACCTTCAAAAATTATACAGAATAATAATGATTTTGAGGATCCTATTCCTAGAAGAAGTGAAAGAATACAACATTGAGAAGAGCGACTCTGCAAAGGGTATGAAGCAGGGAAATATACTTGAAAAAAAGCCAAAGTTTCATGTGATAAGATTACAAACATCACCACAGACTTTGTATGGAGTTGTTCAAGTATTATGTGAAGAACAGAAGAAGTGGTTGAATAATATGGGATTTGGATAACCTACTAGATATGAAGATGGATGGCATCCCGTCAAAGTTGGGATTTTAAGTTGTTTTCATGTTTGATAGTGAAACAATGGAACTATGTGTTGGTAAGCAAAGACATAAGATAAGTCATGAATCAATCCAAGATATGCTTGGTGTGCCTATTGGAGCATAAAGCCTATTTGAATGCAAGTATTCACATGATGATAGTGATCTCTTGGCTAAATGAAGATCCCAATTTGATAAGCAGTCTATATGTCTGGGGGATCTCAAACAAATGATAATTGACAAGGATGAAGGATACTTCAGTTTCAAGTT